TGGGTTTTGTTGTGAGTACTAAGTTGCCTCTCTGTCCTCACTTCTGTGTGCTGTAGATTTCTGCATTAGCGTGTGTTGCTGTACAGCAGCCATGTCATGTAGATTGGGAGCAGCTGGGATTGTTAGGCACAGATTGTGAGTGCATTTGATGGTTGCAGTCAGTGTATATAAACTGCACAGTCGTATGGGATGTGGGGGTGTGTATGCTGATGTGTGCGGTCAGCAGGTTTGTCATGCAGCAGGACTGGTGGGGTCCCCTCGAGTATTTTCTCAGTAGGGCAACAAAGCAGACCCTGATGCCAGCGGCGCTGAACAGATGGCTGAGTTTGTTAGCATGCCTATACTGTGCCAGAGGTCAGAGGGGCTTGTTTACCCAGTTACGAGACAGCATTCATCCAAATAAACACATAGTGAGGACTTACAAAGTTACGCATGATTTATTTGCCTCATGTATATAAATGTCTCTCTCAGCAGCTTAAATTTTGCCACAAAAAAATGTTGAAATGATTTGGATCTGTGAAGGAGAGAAACATCTTGTGACCTGAGGGGTCTATTAACAATGTAGACTGAGAGAAAGAAAGATATTAAAAGCTTTATCTACCAGGAGGAAAATCCTAAAATGTTTTCTGAAAGCAGTTCATAGCCAGCAGAGGTTATGGAGTAACTGGAGTGACATGATCCTTTTTTTCTTCAAATCTTGGGTAGAATTTGAGCAGCTGCATCCTGAATAAGTTGAAATCTGTATCTTGTGAGGCACACAACCAACTCCAGTGATAACAAATAAATGCCACCAACCAGCAGCACAGCTTCTCTGGATGGTATTCTTTATTTAAGAGCATTTTTTTTTCAGAAAAAATACCCTTCCATCAAGCTTTTCAATTTACATTTTCATATTTGACATCTGACATTTTTCGCACAGGTACTCTAGCTTTTCCAGGATGGCACATTCATACGTGCCGTTGCAAGAGGTTCAGCTGTGTCTCCCAGCACAGTTTCAAGAGTTTCGAAGAAATATTACATGAGATGAGCTGGACAAGGCCGTAGAAGGGCACCAGCAAGCAGCTCCTTTATGTGAGGGGAAACAGGAGGAGCACTGACGGAGGCCTACAACATGATAAATGGTTAAAGGACTGGTTCTCATATACTGCTTTTCTACTCTGAGTACTCAAAGCGCTTTAGACAACTGCCTCATTCACCCATTTAACATTCACACACATTCATACTACAATGGATGCATCACATGGGGTCACCCAGTGATATTTGGCATGCAGACTGGAGCAGACGGGGATTAAACCACCAACCTTCCAGTTAGTAGGTGACCTGCTCTACGCTACAGCCACCCCAACATGACCTCCACTCGGCTATTCATGTCCATCTTTCTGACTAAACGGCTAGAATCAGTTTAGTCGGACTGCTCACACAGCCATGTATCATCCAGCTCGATTGGCATTCGCTAGAGGACACCAGACCTGGCAGGTGTGCAACATGGAACCCATTCTCTTCACAGGTGAGGGCAGGTTCACAGTGAGAATATGTGACAGAGACGTGAAAGAGTCTAGCGATGCTGTGCCGAACGTTATACCGCCTGCAACATTCACCCTAAAGATTCTATGCAGTCATAATACGTCAGTGTAGGTTTTATGTTGAAAATGCACTTGCAAGTTTAAGTTAAATGTTTGTTTTTTAATACACTCTTTGTGGATTATTCTCCCACACCTGTTTAGTACATCATGGAGCTTTGCTCTGTATCACACATTTTGTCTTGCTGCTTGAGTCTATAGTGTATCTTGTTCAATCAAAGATGGGAAGGAAAAATGCTGCTGTTTTCTGTTCGCGTCTTTGCAGGAACACAGATAATTCACCATGATACTGGAACTCTAATGAATTGAATCACACTCCAACAGACAGGAAACTTTGAGTGCGTTTTGCCATTTTCATAGACCCTGGGGAAGCTATAACTCTGTTGTCTGGAAGTTAGTCTCATCCTGCTGCTTTTGTTTTCCATCCATCTGCTAAATCCAAGGTGATAAATGAGACAAAAAGAAGCCACCATTTTATAGACAATGACATTTTAAATCATAGTTACACTGACAGAATGACACACAAGGGGCATCCTGACAGAGATCAATATGTCAGTATTTTCAACCTTTCACTTTCAGCTCTTGGAGATTTTTTCTGTAGAGCTGTTCTCATCTTCGCAACCCTCAATTTTCCTTTCCGTATCTCATAGATAACTTGTGAAATATCTCAGTATGACAACAGATGCATTGACGCACTCTGTTCGCCTGCTGTTAGTGTGTGCCTGCCTGGGCTTAGAGCCACTGGAAATGGCCACGATGCCACTGAACTAGGGCACTGTCAACTTCCCACTGGGTGCTTTCTAGGTTAGATCAATATGTGCTTCATAAAGCCCATATTGACCGGGAGGACTCAGACGTCTGAGAGAAGAAACACAAGAAAATGAAAAAGAAACGCAGATGGTAAGAATCCCCCCACCCCCGCAGCAAAAAAGTCTGCTGTAGATGGAAGAAAATGGTTTAGCTTTAGCCACAGGAAGGCAAGTTTATACCACTGAGCTGCGCCAATAGAAACATGATTTTGCCAGTTTGCACCCATATCAGACAAATGCCTCACTTAATGTTGAAGCCAGGAGGAGCGCAGCATGTGTGACGAGGTGAGGAGTGAAGCTCTGATCTTTCCTTCGTCTTTCTCTTTACAACCTGCTGAATGCAGCTGTTTGCTGCCCATTGGCAGCCAGGTCATTTTTCATGTTTCAGATGTAGGTTTTATTTATACTGGCATTTTTTGGATGCAATGTCATTGTCCTATCTAGTTTAATCAGTAAATGATATGAGAGAATCAGGATCCGCTGGCTTTATTCTCTTTAGGACATCAAAAATCTAAACTGCTTTGGATGTCACTGCAACATTTCCTTTTCCCCAAGCCAAATTAATCTTATGTCACTCATTCAGCCACAGTGATATTATTCTGCGAACATGTAATGAAACCTATTTCAGCTTTCCGCTTTTTGGTACTGCTCCAATTTCTCCAGGTTTCACTCAAGATTTTCATTTCTCGCACACTGTTCCAAGTGATTCTGTTAGTGTGTCTATGGTCAGATTTTTCGAGTGGTTTCACCTTAAGATGTCTTCAGGTTTTATTTGCTGAAAGTGAGTGTAGAGCTTTTTGTGAGTCATTACTCTTAAAGTTTTTCCATCATTTCTCTCAAGCGAACCAAAACAGGTTTAAACCAGAAGATTTCTGGTCTGCGTCTATCAAGCATAATTGTTATGGTTTGTAGGTTTTTGGGTTATTTTGAGTTTTCTGGCTGTTTCTGAGAATTTTTTGTCTGCTTTTCATTTTTACCTCTCATTGTCCTTGATTAGTTTTTTGCTGGTTCTTGTATCCCAGGTATTTCCACTCCCCCAATTAGTCCTTGTTGTGTTCATAGCATCAGTTTTCCTGGTGTCTGGCTCTCTGGTAATATCCCCTCCTCTGTATTTGTGATTGTATTTGTTGAGAATTTAAAATTTATGTTCTGGACTTTTTGTACTATTTGTGATTACTTCTTTCTGTGTAATAAAAGTTTGGTTTTGGTTTATTCATGTCAGTTTGTGAGTCACTCCCTTGCCATAGGGCCAAATGCCAGGCCAAATGTTTGACCTGGCAGAGTTTCATTCTGGATCCCCTTCTTGACACAGCCTCAATTTGTGTCTCCGTCCGGACTTCAACCAGCTTTCACAGTAATATGTTAAATAGTTCCATTAATTAAATGGTGTTCATAATTTTATTAAGACACATGCATGTCTTGAAAACAAAACAGTTTTTCAAAGCTTAAAATGATGGATTTAAATAAAGACAAAAGCTGTTGAGAATTGTGTCAGTAGCTTTATGTGCTTGTTTGACATGTTAATGGTGCTAATGGTTGGGGAAACTGAAAAGTCAACAGTTAATTCTTATTTTAATCATTTTGTGCAGACAATAAAGCAAGAAAGTTCTCGGTTTGAATCCAGACTGTTCTTCACTCTTCACCTGTTGTTATATCAGTGGCCTCATGTTTGACACATTAATGAATAATCAAAAAGTAGATACAGCCATCATCTTGTCAAGCAGCTGAGGTTTTGTATTTGCTGTCAATTTCCACAACACTTTGCTCTTCGGCAGTGTTTGCACGCTAAAATACTTCAAAGTTTTTGGAAGAACTTTTCTACACTACTTTCCTATTTCAGTAAAAAAAAAAACCCAAAAAACTTACTCCATTGATTTCCTGTTACTTTGTGACTAAAATAGTGCAGTATGCTGAGTCCCCTGTGTGTGCTGATCTGTTCTAGACAAGCAGGCAGTTGGAGGCAAGCTGTGGGCTGGGAACTGGGTAGAAGGAAGCCGACGGTGCATGAGCCTCCCATGACAGTCAGTCCCAGACGAGGGGGCCAAATAAACAACGAGCGAGCGAGCGAGCAGAGCACAGAGCTGCGCCTTAAGCCGGGAGAGAGAAAATAGAGAGACAGGAGAGAGCTCAGGAATAGGATGACACAGCATGCAGAGGCTTCCGGAGAGGGTAATGAGTTTGGCCAGGTTCCAAAGAAATGCTGCACCTTCAAAAGGGAGGGAGAGATACTGGTGGATATTAAAAACAAAACAAAAACTGTGCCCTCATCTTTCTTTCTGCGTCTCACGTGATGCTTTGCTGTAGATGCTGCCACAGAAAAAACTACTGTTTGCTGTTCGGTACTGATCTCTGAATCTCATGCTTGTTTTATTTGAGCCTCAGGACATATTGAACCACTGCACAGTTTGAAGTCGAAATAGAGAGAGATGAAGAGGCTTTCGTAATGTTGACCATATTCACTAATCAATATCCATTTATGCTTTTGTTATTAGTGTGTCTGGCTGAAGTATCTCCTGCCGTGACCCATTCTTTCCTTTTCTCTGTCTCTGTTCCTTCCTTCGTTCTCCCTTGCTGCTACTTCCTGCCCCTATACTTTACTCATGCAATACAGAGGGTCTGTACCAGCTGGGAGGCCCACGCTGTGCCCCTCAGAGCAGCATTGAAGGAGTGGACGATACAGAGGTAGGACCATTACAAAACAGCCTCTGTTCACTAGTAGCCAATAACATGGAGGAGTACTCATCCCTTCCACAAAATGTTGCCCTTATTTTTTCTCTCCCTTTCACTCCCTTGTTTAACGTGTCCCTTTTCAACACCCTTGCAGAGAAAATGTAAGACCCATGTGCTAATACTTGTGGTGCATGGGGGAAACATCTTGGACACAGCGGGCGGAGATCCCAGCACAAAAGCTGGCGATGTGGCCACGTTGGCCTCGGTGCTCGACAAGGTTACACGGGCGCATTTCCAAGCTGCTGCCGAACACGTGATGATCAAGCTGGTGCCATGTCCAGCTGTATGTGCTGAAGCCTTCTCTCTGGTGTCCAAGTAAGTGCTGATGCTAAACCACACGCCCTCATGTACTCTTGACATTTTAAAGTGTTGCATACCTGGATAAAATCCAGATGATTTAATTCTTTTTCATTCATATTTAGCCAAACAGGTGACAGATCAATGGCAAAACATAACTGGAGAAAGGCACAGAGGCATGGTGAATAGTTTGATAAATGTGAAAATGGTGTGAATCATGTGCTGTGGCCTTCACCGCTTCCAGATCTACCGAAAATTAAAGACTGAGGAAAAAAAATATGCCAAAATATTAGCTGAAGTCAAGTATCAAATGAGGAGATATTTTTGGAAAGAGTGATGTTCGCCCGTGCAGCGAATTTCACCACTGAATGAGAATAAAAGCTGTATTTCACGCTCCGTGTGACCCAGACCTTGCTAAGGCACTTTTAAGAACTCCTAGGGTTATCCCTTTCAGTGAACCAGAATTTTTCAGTTGCCAGTACAATTTCTTGTCGGAAATAAATTATGTGGAAACACAGCCTTTCACACCTTAAATAGAATAATGTGCCTTCTGCTGCTTGGATGGGAGGACAACATGAACTAGTGGCCTCAGGCAGCTCTGATAAACACCTTAGTGTGATATGAAGTATCTAAAATGATATGAAGTTAAGTAGAATGGATGAACACTGTGGGAAAAGTGACACCAGATTTTATAATCAGCTATTTTGTTGATTCTGTCACTGCAGACTGTAAATTAATGACAACTCTGTAAAAGGTCCTGTGCGTGTCAGTGCATTAGGCATTAGAATGAGTTGGAACACCTTTAAAATTTACATTTCAAAAGTAAAATTAGTATAAATATTAGCAGATAGTCAGTTTATTTAGTTTTGTCTTCTTGCTTCACCCACAAGTTTCCCGAACAGCTGATATTGGGTCACATGTTTAATATCACTACACACCCATACTCTAGTGAATAAATGAAAGATGTCACTGACACACTAATAAACCAAAGCTCCTCATATCAATGATATGTAACTTGAAGAAAAGTTAATGCTAATGCTATTGCATTAACTTTCTTTCTTTCACATGCGTAAACATTTGGATGGACTATGAGTGAGACATGAACACTCATGGTCCACTTTCCATATTTAAAAAATGAATGACAGCTAACATGGCTTACTCTCACAACCTGCCCAAGTTTACACACGGGAGTTAAGTGTGTTGGAGAGAGTTAGGAGTCTGTGATTTCACTTGTCAGCTGATGAATAAGTCAATGATTATGAGGCATGACGCTGAGCAGTTTCATGCTGTCACATTGTAATTTGTTGCTGCATTCCAGCTCGGTTCTTTAGACAAGGAAAACAAAGGGAAAAAGCCAAGTGCTCCATAAGGTAATTGTCCTGTTTCTGTAGCTTTTTATCTTAATTTCTTCCTATTTTGATTGAAAGCTTCAATTACAATTAAGGAGCAATTAATTCTGTATTTTTGAAGAAGATGCTTGAAGAATGTGCATGTCTGCAGGAATTAATGCCCAGTGCTGCTCAGGTGGTGAAGGTTAGCCACACTTCTGTCTTAATTAGCATGCTCAGGGCATTTCTCAGGCCCCATAAGCATGTGATCATGTGGAAAATATAACCCCTAAACTTTTTAAATGTTGCTTCTAATTGTTAAAGCTCCCCTTTAATAGTAGAGGTGTCTTCTTAGTGGATAAAATGAATGCTTAAATGACTTCATACAGTTTCCTCTAAGGCCTCTCCAAGCAATGATCTGTTTGGTTAATTAGCTACTGTTACTTTGCATTCAGGTTTCAGTTTCAAGGGGGCGGGGTTAATTGTAGACATTGTTATATTAACATGGTAATGAACAGACGTTAGCAGATGACTCTTTCTTTATGATATATTAAACATCTCCATAAACACTCACAGCTCTTATTCCTTGCAATTGAAATTGATGGAAAGCTGCTGGATGGTGTTTAGGAGATATAGGCGGCAAAAGCATGACTTTCTCCTTCCTTAGTCTGAACTGCTGTCTTTTCAGACGGCTGCTTAAGCGTAACTAATAATTTCATTTTACATTTAATGTCACATGTCCCAGTGGTCAACAGTTTTGCCTCTGACAGCGTCACTTTGTTTTCACGGCTCCCCAATTATATGCCGAGGATATTTTTTGTTTGACTTGTCACTAATCACCGTGGCTGAAAGAATGTGTTTAGCAGTCAAGTCGAGGCTTCTGTTTGGCGTTGTGATTGATGCTAGCTGGAGAGAGGTACAGACTGGAAGCAAGACAAGTGTAAAGAGATTTGAGTTGTGTAGCTGCTCAGCAGCTTGACGTCTGCTTTGCTTTCACCACATCCAGAGATAAAATATTCATGACAACAGTTTCCCATTGCAGTAGAGCGGAACTGAGTTATATGGCTGCGTGTCTCGATTGTCTATAATTGAAAGCGTGTGGACACACAGGCACGCATGAAATTTTGCTTAAAAAACAATTCTTATTGCAACAGTGTGTCAACCAAAGCTGCTTTGCTGGGAGATAAATAAATAATTAAATAAAATTAAGAGATGGAGAAATGTATAACTAAAGAAACAATTTACGCACACATACTAATACATTTAGGATTATTCATGTGTCATACATTTATTCTCTGTTATTTTATTGTTTATTATTGTTATTGTCTCTGTTATGATCAAAGTTTAATTGACGATGAGTACCACGTTTGTGACTATAATCATTCTTTGTTAACGCAGGCTTTTTTGATTCAGAGACTGTGCTCACTCACGTAATTGTGAGCGTGAGACACATCGTTCGACTTTTCTGCATAAAACTTAAGAATTAAGGGCTTGCTCCATTCAGATGCATCATCTGAAGAACCGGTGATAGAGCTCTCTAAAGATCTAGAAAAATAACAGTAAAATCCGATGCTGCTGCTGCAAAATAATACAAGATAGTAATACTCCTAAAAAAAAAATCTTTAACCTTTTGATTAGATCATTACAAGTGCAGGTGAAATAAATAGTTATTATACTTATTTTCTGCTCGGTGTGCTGCTGTTTGTTTCTAACATGAGAGATTAAGACTGCAGACACACAAGCATTAAAGGTTACTCAGTGTGTTCATTTCCAACTTTGTCTCATTGCCAAATACAGGAGATGTGAAAATCTTTAGTTTGCTGTCAGATCAAAGTAAAATTTATCCTGTTGATCCAACAGCTTGCAAATTAGGAAGGAGTATTAGTGCCACATTAAGAAAAATAAATGTTTTGAGAATAAATTTGAAGTTTCAAGATTAAAATCGTAATTCAGTTTTGAGAAAAAAGTCAAAATATGGAGATTACAGTTGTTGTTTCAAGACAAACTGCCACGGTTGCTGTACCCTTTGAGTTAGTGAAATCGTACTTCAGAATTGGTTTTGAAAAGATGCTTGTGGTCAGGCAGAAAAACACAAATGCAGATGAGTGGATTATCACAAAAGGGAATGGCTTGAAATGGACAGATGAAAGGTTATCAATGGTGATATCCTGGTGCAATACAGATATGTATGTCTTATCACAAGGTGGCTGATCAGTTTGCTTCACCAACTCATTTAAACAAGGTTTTGTAAAGGGTAGAGCAGCCATGGCAGTTTGTTGTGAAACAGTAACGGCAATCTTCACATCTCAAAATACATTTTCGACTTTAATCTTGAAACTTCAAATTTATTCTCAAAATGATCAACAATATTCTTTTCCCCTAATGTGCCCCTAATATTCCGTCGCAGCAAATGTTTTTGTAGTTTCTAATTTGTGCTCTAGCTGCTTTTCCAGCAGTATGAAAAAAGAAGGCTCAGCAGCAGATTTAAAAAGACAAACATAAAAATGTATCCACTTACTGGGTCACCAGCTGAATACATGGAAATTCCAGAGACAATGTAAAACACACAGTATGTGCTGCTGAAACCGAAGCAGGGAATCTATGTCACACTTTATTTATTGCGAATCCTACTGTTAATAAACTAAAAAAAAGGTTCCAGCCCATTTCAAACAGAAACTCTGAACATCACCTGTTTTGGACTAGGTTATGCATTGAGTTACCATGGTGATCCAGCCAGGTGAAACTCTGGCTTTTAAGGTCTACATGGTTCACTAAGCCAGTGATCTTGCTTTGTAGTACACCCTGCTGCTCTCGCTGTCATGGGGAGAGAAGACACTGAGAAACTACACTTTTTGCGTCAAAGTTCATGTATTTGTATAGTGAGAAAAGATTAGCTTTTCTTCTTTATCTGAATCTTTTTTACAATTGCCTGATAGCAGTTTGAAGTTGATATGTATTTCTGATCTGCAGTGAAAATATATAAAACTTTATTTTGGGCAGATGGCTCTAGGTCTTTAATATACTCTCACAATATGTGTGGTCAGTAGGGATTAATGGATGCCTACAAACATGAAGGCACAGCACTCAGTCAACTGCACTTTTGTCATTTAACAGTGTTTTCTCTAATGATAGTGCTGAACTTGTGGGTGTTTGGAGTCTCATTTATTTGGATGCCAATATAAACATCTTAGGAATAAGCCACACAGAAAGGAATTACTGCAGTGTGGGTAATTTGTTCTCATTCTGGGTAACAGCTTGGCTGAAAATCACACCACGGAGTGGAGGTGGCAAAACCTCTTAGCGCCTCAAAGAGAAACTTTCACATAAACAAACAAACCTTGGACTCCGTTTGGTAGTTCCTTGTGTACCATATAAGGTTCCCATAGAGAATAAACATGTTTTTCAGTTTTCTTGTTGCTGTGTGTACAAGAGCTACTGTGTCCCACAAGGCTCAGAGCAGTTATTATTAGCTCCACTGTACTAATGAACATACCTTGGAGTGCTGACGAGGAGCAGAGCGTCACAGAAACACATGCGTAATCCATAAACACAGTTGGAAAAAAAACATCCCACACGGAACGAGTTGGGAAAGCTCTCTGAACGTATATTACAGCACCATGGCACATCCAATTAACAGCAACAACACAAATGCTCCCAAATTGATTTCCTCTGCAGCCTCAATTTAAATAG